AAGAGTCTGTCTGTCTGTGTGTGTGTGTGTGTGTGTGTCTGTCTGTGTGTGTGTGTGTGTGTGTGTCTGTCTGTGTGTGTGTGTGTGTGTGTGTCTGTCTGTGTGTGTGTGTGTGTGTGTGTCTGTCTGTGTGTGTGTGTGTGTGTGAGAGAACAAATGGTCAGTGGAAGCTGCTTGTACTTCAGAAACTGTTGTTAGTCCAGCTTAGGATGTCGCATAAATTATTTTATTATCTCTTCATTTTGTGTGAGGTTTGCAATTATTGCAACCCTGAAGACAAGATTGTGAATAAAATGTGGGAAATAGCCAAATATTGTTTTTGGCTTTTATATTAATTCAGTTTTTTAACAGTAAATTGCTATCACTTCAACAGATTTTGTTGAATATCAAATAAGATAAATATAGTTTTTCATAATTAAATTTATTAATAAAGATATGAATATTTAAGATGTATTTTTATTCCTATATATATTTACAGTGCATTAAATTCAAAAGATAATGTTAAATCTCAAATAAGCTAAATATTGTTTTTCGTAATTAAATTAGGTTCATAAGTAATATTTATATATTTTTATATTAATTTATTTATACATTATATAATATTTCTAACTTCATAATTATTATATGATCTTATATTTTATATTATTTCTTTTTATAATGTATTTTATTTTTCACAATTGAATATCAATTGAACAGATATTGCTATTTTTCATGTTATGTTCATTTAATGGAAGAAAGTAGTTAATATAAAATATCTAATAAGCTCTCACTATAAATAATTTGTCAGATTTCTGCCTTTATTGCTTTAACAGTAATTGGACCATTGGTTATTATAACTAACTAAAATCATAAAACCCTTGAAATAAAATAAACTAAAATTAAATATAAAATACAATAAATTTTATAAAAATTATATAGAAATACAACAATAATAATAACAAAACAAAAAAACAACAAAATTATAAAAAAATTAAACTAAAATTAAAACATAAAATGTATAAGTAAAATGCCTTCAAAATATTAACAAAAACTGTAATAGTTTATCAATAATGATAAAATGAAACTGGACACCAGTTTCAATCATATTCATTGCAAGTCGTCTAGTAAAAGCATGTATGTGTAAAGTGATTTGTTTAGTAGTTTGTGCATGTAAGGTTGTGTAATACTGTGATATTTCTCCCTTAACCTGTGTGTGTGTGTTAGATTGAGATCAGTGTGTACGAGGATCGCGGCTCCAGCGGTTCAAGCTCAGGAAGCAGCACAACCAGCAGCAGCGGACGATGATTCACACACACACACACACACACTCACCCACGTGTGACGCCTTCATACTGACGCCCGCTGAACAGACACGACAGCGACTGCTCAGCATCGACAAACACACCTGACATGAACTGCCTCCACGAGACACATCAGCTTCTGGATCAGCAGCGCGTCATTACCGCCACCTTCACAGACCTGCAGCCGTTGCACATCCTCCAGTCACTCGCTGTAGCATCCTGGGTAAAGCGCACATGAGCTTCTGTCACTGTAATATGCAATCTCACTCACAAACGCCTGTGATGTAGCTGCCGATCGGCACACGACAGTCTTCCATCATCACGATTTTTCACTCTTTTTTTTGTTTGAGAATTTAATGAGCACTTTTACTCCAATTATTGAACAGAAGTCAGATTTTAGACTAGGTAGATGTCAAGGACTGAAATCTAAGCCCATATATTTTATACAGGCCCCAGACACTGCCATCTTATTCCACGGGTACTATTTATGACTTTGTTTTATTTCATAGTGTGCTAATCGTTCATGCTTTGTACTCATAACGCGTCGTCAGAGCAGAAACGAGTCCTGATGACGTGACTGCCAAGAGCCAGAGCTTCCTCACATGGTCCTTCATCACGAGCTTCCATTTCTTACTGAGAACCTTTGGCTCCTGTATGCAAAGATGAAGAGAAAAAGAAGCTGAGAGTGCTTTTTCTGTTGTGTAGCAAAATAAATGAACAATGATGGCCAAAAATGAATGAGTTCTGCCTTTCTTTATTTAATCCACATTTTATTTAAATGTATTTTTGCACAGGGTTTTATTCAGGCGTTTTCCACTTGACTTAAAAGATATGCTTTTAGGTAAAACAGAATATTGTTTTTTGGCATTAAGTTATTTAGATATCAATATAATATAATTTTTTATTTTAGAATAAAATAAAATATTTTTTTATAATAACTTGATCAATTCAGCAATTATTTTGAATGTCATAAGCTAAATATTATAATTAAAAATGTTAATGAAATATTTAACATTTATTTTATAATATTGTTTACAATAAATTGAATATTAATTCAACAGATTGTTGAATGTCAAATACGCTTAATATTGTTTTGTCATTAAGACAATTTTTTTTAAATAAAACATTTTTCATAAATTCAACAGATTATTGTTAAGAATATTGTTATGTAAGATATTAATGTAATATTTAACATTTTTTATA